ATGTCGCCATAAACGGAATGACTGACATTAAATTTTGTCTGAGAGAAGACAAAAGACCGGGAAGTGATGAAGGCAGCACAATTTGTGACTCTACCCAGAATGCATTCTTAATCAAATGGCGTGTTTTGTGCCCCCGATGCTAAGTGGCTCAACTATAACAGTAAAAGACATAAAATGTACACAACAATACAGAAGTCAGGCTCTTATGGACAGACGAACACGATGACGACGCGGCGGTGCACAACGGTGCACGACGGTGATGTCCAAGACCTTGGTGAACGACACGGAATGTGATTTCCATTAGTATTTCTGATCGGACAATCATCATTTTTATGGTGCACAAAAAGTCAAACTAGTCAAGTCAAAGCAAATGCCGCTCTGACAAGTATGGTAAACTGACAGGACACTGGACAACAATTTCAGTGCAAACGTTTGACTGAGCCATAGTTAGCAAGAACTAATATAAATGGAAAAACACCAGCTAGCATGTTTAGCTCAGACTCTGTGCTGTTTTTAAATACAGGACGTGTTGTTTTAAAATAGTTTTCGAATTACTTGGCATTCAAAACGTAAATCAGAGTAACAGATTCGATTAGCTCAAGTTAGCAACGCTAACACAAGAGGCTAAAAGCTTCACAAGACTCAATTAAAGTAGAATAATATAATTCAAAGATTGGACTAATTTGCTGTATTGTGAAAAATAATTCAATCAAAAAGTTAACTTAAAGCTTAAAATTTTATAAAATATATTTTAAAACAAAAATAGCTACAAAAAGCTAAATGCTAATAATTGATACAAACTGAAACTGTTTAAACCTTGCTAGTAAAGCAAGGAAAAAGTTTTAATTTTGAAGTCAAAACAAACGTTAGAACCTGTTTACTCCACACATGCACATACATGGAACATAAGAGATGTTCCACTTTATAGTTCACTGTAATTTGTTTTACATCCCATTTGTCAGAGAGTTTGAATGTAGAGATTTATACCACTGACTTGTTAAAGCCATAAAGAATGAATGATGGGATTTAGAGAGTGCTTCAGCCGCAGAATCCTCAGTTATGTTTTGTCTGTCAGTCACAACTCATTCTCACACCGTGCAGCTCTGAATGTTAACATGACCTGCAGTTAATAAATCTCAGTCCCACTCCTTTACTGTATTTAGCCTGGAATTGTTCCCCGGTGTTTGACTGACACTAAATGTTTCATTTGAGATTAAGGAGCAGCGTCAAACTACCCACTCCCCCGTCACAGCCTTCTGATGTTCACCCTTTTCAACATCTTTTAATCCCACGTTTGTCTGCTCGTCTTCTCTCTGTATCCTGACTGATAAATGGACAGGTTTTTCAACACTTCAATATTTGGTACCAGAGTGACCCAGTGAAGTATAATTCCTAATCCCATGTTGGGCTGTATCAGTAAGTACCAACTCTGCCGCGACCTCCTGATGATATGGCAAAAGTAAAAAATCTAAATGATAATTAAGCTACTGCCACACACCCAAAACCAAAGGCTGACTTTTGAATATTAGCTTGATATTAGCATATAGAACACTGTATCTGGTTACCATTAAAATAAGCTAAAACCAGCACTAATGACAACACAACAGTTTCCATATTTCTGTCTTAGAGACAGCAATGTCACAGACACGCACTCAGCAGTGGTTTCATTTCTAACAGATTTCTATTGAATCCCTATATAGAATTAGGCAAAAACTGTTAAAATTAGAAAAATAACCATAGCTTTTAACTTTAAAATTACTATTTAGAAGAAAACGGCTCTTAAAAACAAAGATGTAAATTTCAAAATATGTAAAGGAATGTAGCAGAAACAGTAATGTTTCACAATCCTGTTATAAAAAAAATGGCACAGGGAATAAACGCTGACTACTGTGAGACATGTACTGTGAGACATGTACTGTAGTCCAGACAGTCGGTGTCTGTGCAGTGGGACTGTCCTTCCCTTTATTATCAGCATTCTGTCTGGTGGGTGGTGTGTGTTTAAGCATAAGGACACGCACTCCTCCGTGGCCTTTGTGTGATGTGAGAGCTCCGTTTGTCATTTCACACATTTTCAGACGGTGCTGCTATCTGTTGGCGGCTGCCAGACTTCACATGGGTAGAGAGAGGACAGCGTTTCCAACTGTTGACATTATGGCATCATATATTTGAGTTTCCAAAAAAAAATTTTTTTTAGCTAACACAACGACCCATGGATCCACGAAGCAAAGCATCACTACCGAAATACACAAAAGCTGGCACGGGCTGTGACGGAAACGCAACGTCAATCAATACGCTCTTTGTCTGGAAGTCGACCAAAAAAAAAAAAAAACGGTTCAGCTGACGGCGGGGAGACGGTATGTAAAATGGAGGCTTGGTTTCAGAATGTCGCCAGTCACTGTCATGGCGAGAACGTGCTCCAACGACTGGCAGCATGGCACGTTTATGGGCATTCCCCATAAGGTGCCTTTCTGATTGATGGCACCGCCTGGTGGCCCTCCCTCCCTTCACTCTTCAGCCCTGATTTATTCGTCTAGTCTCTGTGACTTGGCACTGGCATTGCCCACTACTTCTCACGTGAAAACTCCCCGCGGGCACATTCGCCATTATTTGGAGTCCAGACAGGCACGGGCATCAGACAGAAACGTACACAAATGCACAAACACACACCAATGCGCGCGTGGAGGGACGACGTCGTCTCATCTCATTCACACTGGGCCTGTGCTAGAGGGCAGGTGAGCCTCCCACTGCCTCCACTCTGAAAGGATCTCTCACCCAGAGGGCTCAGCTGCGCGCTGGGCCACAGGGGTAAGCGTCTCTGTAAAGCTGCCAAGCCAGATCTGGCCTGCATGTGTGTGTGTGTTCACGAGACACACACTTGTACACTCACTCACGTTGCCTTTGCCAATCTGAAGTTTATGATCCCTGTCTGCGTGTCAGGATGTTCATAAAGAGATCAACCCGACTGGGTGAAGGCATAGACACATTAATGAGATGCAGAGGGCGCTCTTCATCACTCCCTCTGACTGACTTCACTCTGTCTATATATATATATATATATATATCTATATATATACTCCAAACCTCCGCCGTGTTGTTTTACAGTCAATTCATCACGGCAGGAATTGAATATAAAACACTTTTTACTGATGCTTTGATGAGCATAAAGTCACCTGACAGCAGTAACTGGGACTTTTTTCATTGTCCCAGAATGAGCCCTTCAGAATTAACATCACGGCGGCCATGTTGGATCACTAGCTCATTTCCCATTAGCATAATGATAGACCAACTTTACGAGTTTGTTTTTCTTTTCAGAAAGCGAGATGCGTTCATGTCCGTATTTAGAGAGAAATCACGAGGTGACAGATATTTTACCACAACATAATACTTCTGTGTAAAATACTAGGAAAGAAAACATTTATACTATGTATAAAACCTTGTAGTAATACACATTCAAATACTAACATATATTGGCAGAGCATTCACACACACACCAAATGTAGCTCCTGGCCCAGAGATTAGTTTTTTGTTTTATTGCTTATGCTTTTGCAAGTGATCGTCAACTGGTGGCCAGCAGGCCAAATCCGGCCCGCCAAACCATCCAAACTGGCCCTTGACAGGATTCAATAATTGTGAGAATCCAATAAACAATATTATGTTGTCCCCACTATTAAAACTGAAAAAAACAACAACAACTGAGAGTTCAATAACTATCAGTAATACCCACCACTTTTTTAATGTCCAGCCCCCCAAAATTCTGGACCTCCAACAAATGTAGTTGGTGACCCCTTATACCAGGAGTCAAACTCATCTGGTCAAACTCATCTGGTTTGGTTTATTTTCAAAATTCCTCAAGCGGGCCAGTTCTGGCCCACGGGCCATATGTTGACTGCCCTATTCCTTTAATTTAATTTTTAAGTTTCTTTTTTTTTCCATGACAAACTTATAAATCATATTTGCTAACCTGTTGTGCTAACCTTTAGTAAGTGTTTTTAGTAGAACATGTTAATTGTGAAATGTTTTTGGACAAACCTCGAGGGCAATGTAATCTCATTTGAATTCTCTAAGCACATTTTTATTAAACCTATTCAACCAATCTAACCAACTTAACTTAACTCTGAACTGGAATATTCCGTATTAGGATATTTACTGTGGGTTTTTTTTTACCTGCTGTTGGAGTGTTTTCTCTTGTTTTAACGTCATGTACCTGTAGTTCCGTCTCAGGAAGTCTCTCTTACTCGTCATGTCTTTAGTCCAAGTCACCTGTAAATAAACACGAGTCACCAGATGTTTAGAGTCAATACTAAAAACCTGCTGCGTGTCCTGGCTTGGAATCTGTTTCTCGGCTTCACCTGGGGCTTTGCAGTGACTCAAACGAGTGGTCTTTGAATAGCCGGAGCTCCAGCATGAGTGAAAGCCTACCATCTAGTGGTCACGTCAGGGGAAACATGCGGAAAAAACCAAATTATAAGTTTAACTGATCGCATAGCTTTCCTTTAATAAACAGAACCAAGAAAACACATATTACAAAATATTTTCCTTCTTTTTACAGATACATCAAACAAATCTTTCCTCCTGTTACTTCTTCAAAGCAAAATATTTAAACAGGACCATGAGCATTGCTTTTTACATTGCAAATATCAGTTTCTTCACATAGAAAATAATTGCACTAAGAAAAAAAAAAGAATAAAGAGAAAAAAAAAATCATATGTTGCACAAGTTGGCAAGACGCCACAGGGCAGACACACTGCAGGAGTTTGGTCGGTTTGTGAGAGTTGGTTTTGTTTTTAGCGGATTAGCGTGTATATTGTGAAAACGGTTGTCTGTTGAAGTTTAGTGGTTAAATAACACGGCAGATGTAAGCGTGGTCACGCCAGGCTCAGAACTTACAACAGAGAGATTTCTAATGTGGATATGCAACACGTTGCCATTCAGCTGGTCCAAAGGCAGATGGAATATACATCAGGGAAAAGCCAAATAACCAAAACAAATGTGCATTTCTTAAGGTCGGTACCGGCATCTGCACAATCACGGGCAGAAACTTAAACCCAACCCTGAGGCTGAGATCATTCACAAGGTCACAAGCAAGGTCACTCACAAGGGGGAGAGGGACAACGGCATTCTTCACTGCCTCATGTTCATTCTTTTCACTGTAGCCTTAGCTGCGGCTCATGAAGGCAGAGTACTAGGAAATGGCTTGATTGCCCGAAACACTGACGACCGTGTTGTTAATAGAGGGCAGCACGGTGAAGACAACAATTATCGTAAGCGCAAGGAGTCGCCTCCAAACTGGTTGCTAAGGTTTGGTACTGTCATTCAATCACGTTAGGATCTTGGACAAAGGGAAAACAGCAAAGAAATTGCAGGTTTAACCGACGTTAACTGGACTGTCAAAGGTCAAATCAACCACAACCCCACCAGAACTGGAGAAGGGCAGGGGTTGATCATGTCACACCAGGAATTGACTTAAGCTGTAATTTCAATACCTTCAAGTCAACTTCTACCATCATCTGTCTCCAGCTGCCAGCCCCAGCTGCTCAGCCCACCTCACCGCGTCTGGATGGTCTTCACTGGCGGCCGAAGGATCAGCGAGCAGACCCATGGGAAAAACGGAGATCCTGGTCCTTAGGGAAATGTCCGGCTGGAGCCTTAGCTGCAGCTGAAGGTTTGGGCGGAGAGCCCGTCACCCAGGGAGGTGGAGACAGTCCTGCAGCCTGCGTGTCCTCAGCAGGAGAGGCGTCTTTACTGTGCTGGGAGGCCGCAGCTTCAGGGTCCTGCTGGGACATGAGCTGGAGTAAAGCTGCTGCCACTGCAGGGCTGATGTCCTGGGTGCTTTGGGCTTCAACACCGTCCTGCTGGTCATTCCCAGGTGGCAGGGATGATGGAGGTGGCCCAGGTGGAGAAGGGGGACGTTGGTCAGCAGATGGAGGTGCCTGACTGGTAAATTGTCTCCGCTTTGGTACCACAGGGCCTGAAGGAGCAAAACAGGAGAGAAAACACATTAGGAGTACATAAATGGAATTAACTACATGTGCAAAAACATTTCCTTATTTTAGTCTACTGAATCTTAAATGCAAAAACTATTATAGATGTTTTAGAGTTTGTTTAACTGAAACTTTGGGACAATTTCAGAAGAGTTGCAAAAAGTGCATCAACTCTGATTTATGTTTCAATTTAAAAAACCCACCAAAAAAGTAGATGCTGTGTTACTATGAAAAGTGATTTGTGTTTAAAAAAGACATTTTGCAGTTTGAGATATTTTAGATATATATACATTATTTAGGACAGAAAGATAACTAAAACTAGGAAATTAGTCTAAGAGCAGTGAAAAACCCCCAACAGGACGCAAAACCCAAAAACCGTTAAACCATATCAGCGTCATTCAGCAGCAGAGTCAACACTTTTATTCAAATTTCTATTCACATTCGATTCTAACATCCGAGTCCAAATGACCACTGAAAACAAAAAGATAAATGTGTGACAAACCAAAGGTAAAGAAACACATGCAGGTGAGGTCTAAAGGTTCAAATCATTTATTTTTCACTTGATAATTTATTTCTTCTTCATAAAAGGTTGACATTACAGACCGTTTAAAGCAACATCTCTGAAGAAATCCACGAAAACCTGCCTTGCAATGAAAGTGAGATGAGGAAGGGAAAAAAAAACGAAAAACGTGAACATGAGACGGACACAGGAAAAGACTGCGAGAGAGAAACGGGCAAAAGGAAAGAGTCTGGAAGGAGAAAAGAGAATACAGTGTAAACCTGGGTGTTTCACTCGGTGATGAAATTAACTACTTTTCTCCTGGTTTATTGACAACCGAACCATTTACGGTATCTGGAGGGACAACGGGACGTGTTTGCGTGTTTTTTAGGAATGTCAGGGATAGGAAAAGAAGATAATTTCTATTTAACCAAAATAATTTAATTCAATAACCATCAAGCTGAATATTAGGTTACCTAGAATGTAATTATTTTGCTGACGGGAAACTTTGAGTTTGTTTTCTGCTCTGATACTCATTTGCAGTCGTTAGTGATTTGATCTGACCCTGGTCTACCCCGCTCTTTGTCCTTCCACCCACTAAAGACTAAACCCAGACTTGCCCTTGCGATCAGTAGTAGAGGTGGATGAACCACGCGCTAGCGCCTCCCCTGACTGGACGCCATTGCTCTCATCGGCCTCCTCCTCGGTTTGAGGCTTAATGATCTGACTCAGAATGAGAGCCAGCAGGTTCGCTTGCTCTTCCTGGCTGAGCGATGGGTCTACAGATGTGGGTGAGGGCTCCTGGGGTTCAGGAGGCGGCTCTGGAGGGTGAGGCCTTGCAGCAGTGGATGCCGGCTCCTCCTGTGTCCCCTGGTTGTCAGAGGCCTCGCTGAGAGCAGACAGCGTCTGGCTGAGAGCCTCTGGATTGGAGAGGTTGAGGAGCTGGGCGACCTGGGGCAGGCTGAGGTCCGTCTGTCCTTGGAGGAGGTTCAAAAGAACTGCCAACTCTGTTTGGTTTAACTGATCCGCGGCAACTCCCAAGCCTGGACACATACATTCACAGTCACAATGGTAAATGTACCAATTTATATTTTTTAATAATGAACTTGAACCTTTATTGATTAGGCAAAACAACATTTGGGTATTTCCCCAACTTCAACTAAATCCTTCTGGACTTTTCAAAAATTTTCAACAGGAGTGACTTGGACCGCAGGCAGGCCGGTCAAACACACTTGTCTACAAACTTGCGTCTTTTAAATTGTTCCAGCAAAAGACACAGATTTGTTGGGGTAGCTCTTTGAAATTGCTAAATAAAAATAGTTTACAGGGCCTGACATGATAAAAAAAATAGCTGTAACATTTCTTGGTTGGTAAAAGAAAGTTTTTTTTCAAGCAGCCAACTGCTGAGAAAATTAGCTAGTTAGCTTTTTCTGTTGTGCACCAAGTTTTTATTTTAGACTTTGTACATTTTCTGCATTCTCCTTTTTCTCCTTAGCCTGTAGTCAGGGTCTAGCAAAGCTTTGATCACCTTATTTGTGTTGTGATAACTTATCTGGTCATGTGAACTGATAGCGTTGTGTTTCGCAACCTGAGGCTACATTTTAACACCACTAGTTGTTTTTTAGCCCTACATGATATTGCACAATCTGAACACTTTAACACATTTAACACATCTCTAATGAAGGAGATGCTTCCTTTATTTCTATCAGCATTGGTTACCTGACAACTCACTCTCTAAATTTGCTGTAGGAGGAGGTTTTCCTGGTGGAGGTGGTGGGACCCCAGCTGGGCTCTTTTGAGGCCGACTGTTTTCTCCACTAGAGGTCCCTGTCACATCTTTACGGGGCACTTTGGGCACAGGCACATCTTCAGGCAGCCCACTCTGACGCGCACGCCGCCTCTTCTTACTCCAAAGCTCATGGCAGTCCTGATGGTGAGGAAGGCTGGAGACCAGGACGGACGTGTCAGCAGTTTTGAATCATTTTAAATGATCAAGAATTATATTTTTTTTAATCATACACAAAGATAAAATGATATTGTTTTAGTAGAACAGCATCGATAAGTGACCTGTGTTGCATCATGAGAATGATTTACTCACTCCGGTGGGGGCATTTTATCCGGCTCTACATCTGACAGGAAGTCACAGTTGAGAGCTTGCTCTGATGTACAGCGACGTGCGGGGTCCAAGGTCAGCATTCGGTCCAGTAATTCCAGGGCAGTCGTAGGTAAACTGTGCAAAAAAGAGGTGACGAAACAGTTAGGAAAAAAGTGTTCTGTATTTCTCTCATTGACCTCATGGGTAGTTTATTGAAGCAGGTCAACAATTGAAATGGTTTAGAGGTATTTTAACATCAGGGACAAACACAGGAACAAGACCTGCAGTAAGATTGGTTCAATTTCAATTTTTCCTAATGTATTCTATCTATAGTTTAAGTGATATATTGTACATTTTGACATCAGTGTCAGTTTGAAGACTTCTTGTTCAATACAGAAATATTTCTTTCCTGGTAAGCCTTAACATCCATTGTTAAAAAAACAAAACCATCTTCAAGCGTTTTCTGCTTAGTGTCTCACTGTGGTTTACCTACATACTGCATGACAAGACAGTTTTCCACAAGGCTTTGGCAAATGTAAAGCACTGCCATCTAATCCATTGGATATTAATTCAAACCCAGCCTGGAGAGGTACTCAGTACTGGCGAGTACACAAGTGAATTTACTTGTGCTTGTATCAAGTAGTAAAAGAAAATCTAAAAAACAAAATTCGAATTGCAAATGCTTTAAAGAGATGGGCTTTCTCTACATACAAGGCAAATTCTTCCCGTAGTCTCCGCCTGTACTGCTTCTTGGGCTTCATGGTGTTGAAGAGGGGAAGTTTAATGACGTCCGGCCAGACTGCAGGACAGGGACTGCCACACAGACGACTGAGCCAAAGGACACAGACAAAGTTTGTTGTAGAAAAAAAAAAGGTGAAATTGTAAAAAAAAACACTTCTCTTATTTCTGTGTCAGGTCACCTGATGAGTTCCAGCTGTAGCAGTTCTTGGTTGGCCTGAAAGATGGGCTTCTTTGTAAAGAGTTCTCCCAAAATACACCTGGACAAAGACAGGATTTTCAAATATAATTCACAAGTACTCTTTTGCTTTCCCTGCACAGACAGGCAGTCAAACCGAGAGCTGCCACTACAGAATGTAAACTGAATTAAACATTGGTGATGATTTGTGTTTCCCTTTGTTGTTGTTTTTTTTTAAATAAAATACTTTTAAAATTCATGCATACAATAGCTTTTAGTTTTATTTGTTGTTTTTATTGATTATTTTATACAGATTATTGTAAGAAATCTAACATTTCTATAGCCTGCTATTAAAAAAACATTTTAAACAAACAGTATATACAGGTTAAAACAAAACAGTTGCAAATGTAAAAAGGTCATCATCACACAGAAAAACAACCAGTGAGCAAAATCACAGAACCAAAATATATCTTCATCGCTTGACAGGAAATACATAATGAAAGTGGTTGGTTAAAAAAAATAGGATGAAAACTTCCTAAACTCACCCACAGCTCCAAACATCAATAGCTGGTGAATACCTCTCCTCTCCCAGCAGCAGTTCAGGGGGACGGTACCATAGTGTGATTACTTTATTAGTGTATGGCCGACTGAGGGTAAGAAAAGAGATCAAGCAGTGAGGAAAAAAAACCCACAGTAACTCAGCATGTCAGGCTCTCTTTGACATCAAACAGCACCATCTAGCGGTTACACTTCGTAATTCCGTTATAATAACACAAGTATAAAAAAAGAGGGAGGGGAGCAAAAAAAAAGTTTTTGTTCTGCAGAGTCCACAGTCTGGGTGAGATACAGTGATTTCACAGGAATTGTCCTTTTTGTCCATAATCACTCCCTTTTGTTTCAATGCACTACACATAGGTGCAGCCTAGAGTTCAATAAAGAGGCCAGTTCTTAGTGAAGAAGTATAATTGTTTTTTTTTGTAAAATATCCATATTTGTAATTAAATCAAAATAAATAAAATAATATCTTTTAAACAAAACCCATGCTTTTTAAAAAGAGGTCATGTTTTCTTAAGTGACATAACTTCAGCTGTATGAAAAAAAGTACAAAGGTCAGCTTACCTTTCCTCGGAGTTGTAAAACCGGGCTAAACCAAAGTCAGCTAGTTTGATCTGACCTCTGAAAGAACAAGTCGAAAAGTTAGCAAAACTGCAGAAAATTACAAATAATTGTATATAAAATACAAACTAAGGCTTAAACCAAAAACAATAAGTCTCAACACAGAACGTAGAAAAAAATAAAACATCATGAATTGTAAAGAGCAACAAAAAACAACTCGCACCTAACCCAGAACGGCAAATGGCACTCCAACTATGCGTTAAGTTACAGCAGTGCAGCTGTTAAACGGCCGAGGAACTGGGGGTGTTAAACACTCCATTAAACTGAGAACCATGCTTTGTTTTCCGTTTCTTTATCAACTTTTCCACCACTGCAGCTCGCTACTCTCAGTGCACTTGTGTAACCCGAGGTGTTTGCAGTTTGAACACAGGCCTGTACTGAACAACCATCTGTGAAACACTGGCTGTTATTCCTGTGTTGTCAGTACTTCAGGCACTCAATGGAATGAGAACTAGTGTAATTGACTCTGCTGCTGATCCAGCTTAAAACTACAGCGGGCAGATTATTAAAGCTGGCATTCAGCTGCTTTGAATGTAGAGTGTAGGGCATTTACCAAGATTACTCAGATCTGGTTAATAAGCACAGCTACACTACCATTGGCAACAGATGTAGTGGAATTGAAGCCACTGCTTTGAATCAGTCTTACATAATTTTATTGATGAAAACATAAATGCAGTTTATGCAGCGGTGCATCTTGTCCTCTGTCATTATTTGGAGATACTGGCCATGTGGCAGTGCAGGCCACTAGTACTGGCAGTGATGCAATAGTCTCCAGTGCAGGAGGAACAAGCACCCAGTGGAAAAAACTATTTGTAGCTTATATTTTGGGGGTGGGTGCTTATTAGCATTTTATAACTGTTGTGAAATATACACTACATAAATCAAGGGTTCAAACAGAATGTCCCATTCTGTCTGTTTAGCTGCATTCTCAGGAGACACGACCTAATTTTCTTTAAGACTTCTACAGTCAGTTTTTCACCAAATGGCTTTGTCCATTTCTTACATAAACTGTATGGTTGAAATGTTTACCTGTTGTTGAGTAGGATGTTGGAGCATTTGATGTCTCTATGTAGGAAGTTGTTCTTATGGCAGTAATCCAGACCCTCCATCAGCTGTCGCATGAAGCTGCGTACGTGCTCATGGGAGAACTGGACTAGGCCCGATTCCAGCAGGCCCATAAGGTCGTGGTCCATGTACTCAAACACCAGGTAAAATGCCCCTGAAATGAAATGATTATAAAACCTAAAACCAAATCTGTCTACAGGAAAACAAACATATGCACAAGGGAATCTGGGTTTCAACAAATATATATTTAATCAAAATCTGTGTTTATTGCCACTTTTTTTACACTTACATGTGTAAGTGTAAAAAACAAACAACAAATAAGGAATTTAACTTCTGTTGGTACATGACTATAAAATAAAATAAAAAAATGAATAAGAAGCCAAATATGTGAAATAGTTTGTAGCAAATTCAAAAGACCTGAATGACTAGGAACTGTGCATGTCATTTTCTCACCTTTGTCCTTTTTAAAGTCAAGTGCGTCCTGCTTGTCGGTGACGATTTCCTTCATGTTGACAACACTGCGGTGTTTGAGCTGCCGCAAGATCTTAATCTCTCTGATGGCTGTGATTGGGAATCCCTCCTTTTCATTGTCTAAACGCACTTTCTTCAGAGCTACAAGCTCACCTGGAAAGTTTAGGAAAAGAATGTTAAATGTTTAATTTAAGAAGAAGAAAAATAGAACACGTCAATGAATACAGTGATAAGAAGACAGCTAACATTCCCTCACCAGTGTCTTTGTCCTTTGCTTTGTATACTTGGCCATATGTGCCTTCTCCTATGATGCCAATTATATCGAATTTATCTACGCAGCGCTTCCCCCAGTCACTCTGAGTGTGTTTGCGCTCACCGTACCGTGGGCAGCAAATCCTGTACAGCATCAAGAGCAGAGTTTAGTGGAGGTGTAAGACAACACAAGAGGAAGAAAGTTGAAAGTGGAGAAAATGAAAATGTAAGACTTACTTTGGTCTCTTCTTAAGGGTTGTCTGGGGTAGCAAAGGAAGCTGGCGGAAAGGGGACTGTGGTGGTGACGAGTCACTTCCGGTCAGGGTAGGTGGTAGAGGAAGGTCGATAATGGAGGGCCGCACGCGGGTCTCCTTTTCCCTCTCCTTCTTGGGTGGCCTCTGAGGAGGAGTATTCTTCTTTGGGCTGTGTAAAAATTTTAGATAAGTGTTTAAAAAAATTTAAAAGAAAAAAAATACAATAAATGTACTTCTTTTACTTTCACCCAAATTATCCAGCCAGGTTAAAAAGGCTGCACCCTGTCTGTTAAACTCACTGGAGGTACAATGATGTTCACAAGCCGTTCTTTTTACCAATTTTTAGTCTGGACCTTGCACCAGCCATTTCCCCACATGTATATAAAGATTGAACATGAAACAAAGATTTAAATACACATGCATTTAATGTCTTTTGTTCATACTACCTTGTGCCATTGCAATTGCCTGGTCAATCAAATTAAAATTACCATACATTATTTGTGTAAATATGCAAGTCGTTACAATAACAGGAAGTGGTTCAGAAAATAGTCATTGTACCAAAAAGACATTTAAATCTATAAATATTACATTAAATTTGCAAAACAATAAATACTATAAAAAGGATAAATAGGCAAAGCCTAATCAAATGTTTTTTTTTTTATTTGCTTGTATGCTACAAGGAAGCCAGGATAAATAACTTTAAGGGAAGAAAACCTAAGTCTGTCCTCACCTGTCCTGAGTGTTTCCCAGCAGTACAGGAGGTAAAGGAAGAGGGGGCAGAGTCGACGTCTTGTGAAGAGGGGTCTGGCGGACAGGACTACGTGAAGGAAGCGGAGCTGGTGATTTGGCCTGAGATGTGTTGGATGGAGTAGGAGGCTTCAATGTTTCTGTTTGAGGTGGTGGAGGTGGTGGTGGAGCAATCTGTATGGCAGACCCAAATGGAACAGGAGGCGAGGCCTCAGGTGGTGGTGGTGGTGGAGCGGGGGACTCTGATGAACAGGGGAGCGGCGCAGCAACGTCATCATCAGCAATTGGAACACTTTGGGGCAATTGGGGTGGTGGAGGATGAGGTTCTGGTTCAGGTTCTTCTGTTTCCACTGTAGCACAGTCTTTTTCTGGCTGTGTAGTTTCAACCTTAGTAGGCCGTGAGGAGGCGGATGAAGAGGGAGCTGCAGGTTTACGTACTAAAGGAGAAGACGATGCAGCAGTGCTAGCACGGGCGGCAGCCTCAGCGGCTTGGCGTTCCTTCTTCCTGCGGCTCAACTCTGCCCCCAAGCTCGAGGTTAGTGGCAGGCGGCTTGATGGAGGGGAGCGGCTCGCTGGCCGGCTGCTGTGGGAACTGCCTCCTGCCCCAGAGGTTGTGTGTCGCTTAGTGCGAGATCTTGAGGAAGGACGATGTGAAGAGTAGGACAAAGGAGATCGGCTTCTAGAACGTCTTAAAAAAACAACAACAACAAAAATGTCTTTAAAAACATGCCTGCACTGGAATTTAACTGGCTTTTGGATAATTTAGATGTAGAAATCCTGGTTCAATCTAATCAATGCAATCTATCTCTGATTCAAATCTAAACCTGATGAAATTATTTATTGAACAAAGGCCATAGGAAGTATATATCTAAGAATGTTAACTAAGTCAATGCAAACTAAAAATGCTCAACTGAAATTCACACCATTTACTTTAGCAAGGTTCCATTTCAATATGCTAATGTTCAAGTGACATTTCATACTAAAGAAGTGGAACAATCATCCCTTTACTATCTCCTGCTTGTTTCGTAATCTTCTCTAACCTATCATTTTATCACCCCTCAGACATGTTGAGGTAAAGTAAATGGAGAAAGAAAGAAAAAAGGTTTCGCAGAGATTGATTTCCTTTTTCACATGATGGTGTTGTCGGCAGGTTTAACAAGTTAGTGCAACTTCAAACTTCCCGCACATGCTATTAGAGTATAGTCACAGGCTTTGCATTTGTCTTCAAAACACACAGCTAAACTGAAAACTGTGCCAGTATTTACATGGAGAAGTAATTAAGAGAAAGGCAGCACAAGAAGGAGGTTGTAGCAAGGACAAGTCCAATTTTAATTTAATGTTAATTATGGATTACAAGCTGTGAATATAAAACCAATGGGAGGAAACGTGTGTTATTTAATAACTTTAATATCTAATGATTTATAGGGATGACTGGAGTGTTAAGGATCCAATGCCAAAAATGTATGTATAACCACCAACATGACACACATGTTGCCGCTGCTTCTACAGTGGCAACAAGTGGCTAGGGAAGAATGAAGTGCTTTACTGCCTTAAACTTTGTCCCTGGTAGATTTAAGGTTTTAGCAAACGTTGCATTTAAATATGATTTACTTTCTACACCTTAAATTATAGCACTGTATGATTTTTGAGGCATTACTCCCTGCCCAACCTGTGACTTTTGTCTCAGCAAATTGTTGGTTCACCAACAAGGTAGGAAATTTGCTGGGGGGGATTTTTGATATTGACATTTCAAGGGCAATCTGAACCATTTCTGAAAATTATCTAAAATTCCATATTTCACTCTTGGTATTTCACAACTAAGCTCTTTGCCATCTTTTTGACAGTGAGCAGGGCTAAGGCAAATATTTGTTAAATTAAATTGTGTTAAATAATTCAACTTGCTATGCACAATACATTTGCCATTTGGTAAGAGGGTCAGGTATTGTTAGATGATCGTTTTTCCCAGGTTTTTAACTTAACTAAACCTATTTAAAAGAATGCCTAGATGTTTCTGTCTTACAGCATATACTTACCGAGAAATGGGACTGGTACTGGAGGACCTGCGAGTAGCATAAGGGCTGATGGAGCGCCTTCTTGAGTAGGGGCTGCTGTCCCTCTCATAGCTGGAAGACCTGTGTCTGCTGCCGTAGGGACTGTCTGATCTCTGCCTGCTGCGACAAGAGACGTCCCCATAGGGACTGGGACTGTGTTGAGTTACCCTACGTCTGGGGTAGCCATCATTTTCCTGATGGCCATATCCGCTGCCCAGTGGACTCACACTCTCAGCTGTTCTCCGAGGACTAGGGGACAAAGCAGAAGTGGTGGTCTTCCGACGGGGGCTGCCCCTAGTTGAAGACTTGCCCTTTGGGCTCAGCTTGTGGCTCTTGGAGGACTTCCTATGTGCTTTTTCCACCCTGGTCCTCTGTGAAGAACTGTGACTGCCCTCTCCATGTCCTTCTCTATGTTGTTGTCTTTCTTTGCGGGTCTTCCCTGAGCGGCCGCTCTCTTTGCTCCGGGACGAGGATGTGGATGAGGTGGCGCTACCTACGCTAGCTGCAAGCTGCACCTGAGAGAGTGAAAGCTCCCCACGTTTAAAATCAGCTTCTTGCAACTCCTTGCGTTTGGAAGAGGAGCCAGATGAGACAACCTTCTCCTTATTCCTTCCAGAGCCCCTCTTTTCACGGTCTTTACTGCTCTTTTTCTTGTACCCACGTTCCCCATTTCCAGATTCCGTGAGCTTATTAGAGTCCTTGGGCTTTTTGCGATTGTGCCTGTGCCCCTTGCTTTCCCTATGCACATGCTCTATTTCAATTTCGTCCTCACCATAGTCTAGCGATTGCTCCAATCGCTCTACGGCTCCTCTCTGGGGGGGTCTGGAAGGCAGTGGGTCCGAGAAAGTGTCCGAGTCAGAGCTGATATCATCATACTCCACTAATGGCTTTAGCGTGTTGACTGCAGGCGGCGCCGTTTCCCCGTAGGTATAATCTTCGGGCCCCGGCGCATTAACCGAGGACACACGGTTATGTTTTGAAGATTTATGTCGTTTACGTTTTAGTGACGAAGCAGACATTTGAGATTTTAACTGCGATTTACCACTTTTGCTCATCACGTCTCCCTCAGAGGTATAACTTTGGTGCTGTGTGTGATGTGACACACCGCCGATGCTGGATTCCGACTTCCTCTTGGTCCCATGGTGTCGGTCCGACCCAGGCATCCCTTACTGCTGGCGTCGGTGGCTGTCCTGCGTCTGGGCCCTGCTGGTCATTCACAGGAGAACTACCTGCAGTTACTTCAAATGCCCAAACAAAAAAACAAAGTGCAACTCAAGCAGAAGCAGAAAACAGATATCAAACGTAGAAGGCCTCTCACGTCCAGTCCTTTCCACGGCTCTTCATTTAAAGTCACAAATATCTTTCGTTAAAGCAGAGAAAATGCCCCCATAGGTTTTCCAGTGCTGTAACGGTGGTAGTTAGATTCAGTCAATAAATAAAAAGGATTCCAGGAAAACATTGGAGCTTTGTGGTGCCGTCTCCGTCTCACATTTAGCTAGGGATGCTAGCTAAAGCTGGGCAGCTAACGAGCTGACTCGTAAAAAAGAGGGAAAAAAGTCCCCTTGTGAAAGGTGTCCTTGTCCGGTGCCAAGTTAGGTTAAGGAGTTTTTTTATTCCGTAGAAATACGGTCTTAGTATTCAAAAGCAAGCAATGTCTTCATTAGAAGACGCTCCAACAAAATCAAAACTTGACCCGGTTGGTACTGTTTACATGTTCCCTTTAATATAACTTTTATCCCCTTTAAATTCAATGTTGGTTAGAAATGATAATATTTTCGTGTGCAGTAGATGTTCCAGTTTATTATCAATGGCTCTGGGAGTCAACCAGGCCTATATTTAGGGCGATGTTAGTGGATTTAATATTATCCACAGCCCTATTTTAAGGAGACTACAAACGCCATTGTGGCTCCAGTGACTGCCAACTTCTTCGCAAGCGAGACGAGCCGGAAACCAAAGCGCTGTCAGTCTCTGACATGTCATAGCAACAACCAATGGTAACAAAGAACCCGTCCCCTCGTGTCCGCAATTGCACGACACTAACGTAAAACGTTTCAGAAAAGACGGCATGTCATTATAACATGAAATATGAAACATTTGATTCAGAGAAGTAGTTTTGAAACGAATTGGCAAATCGAATAGAGATAGAAAAAGCTCAATCCACAGACTAATTGCAGCTGCATATAATTGAGAAAGAAAACATTAAATACAATTAAAAGTAATTGACATAAACATATTAAAAATAGATGATCAACAATTACAGGTTAAAATGCATAATTAAAAGAGTACGCTAATTTATAGTAGAAATACATAGATGACTTTGATACAATGAGTTGCACTTTGTGTGGTTAATTAATTTCAAACAGAAGAAGAACGATTCAAGAAAAGTGTAGGATTACTGTTCATTTAATGGGGAAAAAATTATCAACATAAAACAGATTTTTACAAATGCTTTTCAGAGGGTATGCTCACATACGGAACTATTCCCAATTGCCCAGTCAGATCCTTTTGAATTCCCATTGTGACCAGATTATCAATGAAGACGCTGCTATGTTGTAATTGATCAATTTATTTATCATAACGTACAGCAGAAATACTAAATATATTTTGTAATTAAATAATAACTGAGGGCCACATGTTCTCCTACATTCCCTGCTATGGCAACCTTCAAGTTCATATCAAAGAGTGTATATTGTGTGATTTAAGCAAAAGTGTGTTATATTTCTCATTCTTTAGTTCTGATTGATGTCAGATATGATATTCGGACTTTATTATTATGTTCTTTACAAAAGCAGACCTAAAGCACTAAGGTTGAAATTAAAAATTATTTAAAAGACCTACAAATTTAAGACGGGTAATAACTGTCTTTTTTATTCAGAACCCGATCAGATTTTCTTTTTCAAATACAAATTACTTATTACTTAATTACTTAATTTCTCAATTTCTCACGTAACTGAAAACAGCTTTTAATCGAACGTAACTTTGTTGAGTCAGGGAAAATACCGACCAAGGTGCCTTTATATACCTTTCTATGACAACACAGCATCACGTGACCCATCCAGGGAGTTGATTGGACGTACTGTCTCTCAGGGGCGCGGCCAAGAACAAACAAGGAAGTTATTTCCCTGGTTTAAAGATTATTTCACGAAGAAAAATAAAACCTTTTTATTTTGCACCAATCGCTAACTTATTTGATCTAACTACCATTCTATTATATATATACTATAATTATAAAAAATGCAGTTACTTTAAAATTAATCTTTAATGGAACAATGACTTTTTATTTTTATTGCCTCCACATTAAACTTCCATTGTGATACTTAAATATTGATACATTTACTTGGCCACGCGCTCCATTTTAGCGGAGGTCCTATTTATTTTCGGGCTTTTTGTGTGGATGTAAACGAAGACCCGTGCGAGGGGAGGAGGAGCAGGGGAGGTGAGGACAAGCGGAGTAGAGAACTGGCTCATTGGCTGACCGTAGCTTTTGTAGCCTACAACCCATATTTTATTGTTATTAGGTGCTGGAGGATCCTGTGTTTGGTTGTCGAAAAGCGACACGGCTACCAAGAAACGGTAGCATGATAGTCGTGGAGGTGGGGGCCCAGCTGGCAGGAAAAGACGGCCCGTATCTGCGTTTCAATCCTGCGCCTACACCGAATCCATTGAGTCGGTAACAACGAGCAGCAACACCAGCAGTGTCCGACATGGGGAAGGAGGTGAACGGTGTTTCCCGGAGCCGGTTTGAGGTCACCAACTTTTGTGTTATTACACATATTTGCCAACTGACAGTTCCTAAGATGCATTATACCAACTTTAATTAGCATTTGAGTGTGATTCTATGTGATGACTGTGTCTGTTTTTGTTTAAAAACTGCGCTAATGTTGTGGAGGCTAGTGATGCAGCTTCCGCAGGCAGTATTTCTGCCACAAACGCTGTTGTTTTTGTACGTTTTAAAGGGCACGGCGCTTACATAAATTGTCATTTTGTCCAGTGTAATCCCCCAAAGCCTGACATTATTTAGATAAGCGCTCGTGTGGTTTAAAGGGACTGCAGAAAAGGTCCTCGTTTCCCTCCTGTGCCGTCAAAACAAAGACAATAAGGTTACATCCAGCGCAGCGAGTGCAGCTCTGACAGTCACTAATAAACAGAAGTGTTATTTTTATTAATATCTTACGTTAAGTGAAGCTGTTCACCCCAATGCTTACACTGTATTTGTGACAGCTTTGGCTCTACTTTTGTTGCCGGAGTGTTGTGCTCATCCACGGCCGCTGCGGATGTAGCGGCCTCAGGCTGTTCCTGCTACACACACCGCTTGTATTAGCAACAAAACTGTGAGCAAACAGGGCCTAATCGTCTGCCACATGTCAGCTTATTGGCACAGTAAGATCACAGTAACACTATTTGGGCCACCTGTTAACACGCTTAAACACACTCAGGTCGGCTGCAGTCAATGTTACAGTTGAAACATTGACAATAAAGTTTTGTGTCGCAGCCACGCAAGCGCCGCGTAATATATATATTGTTTAAAAGATAGTACAAAACACCACTGCATCGGGCAAGTGACATTGTCCTGGTGTTAACCGGATTTAAATCCCTCGGTCAATGTGGGATGTGTGAGCGTGGTTTTATTTATTTTTAACGGTGCAACAGCTGAGGACTCAGAAGATTCAGGCCGTTACCTTCTGGCCCAACAGCTGCGGTGGAGCTAGTGCGTGTGACGTTCACGGGAATCCGGACAAAAGAATTCCAGTACCTTTGTCTTCAAAGTACAAAGTGAACGAGTGTAGTGCAAAGTTTTTAATGGGCCTTTTTTGTATTTGTCAGTAAAAAACAATGGCACGATCAAAGTCTAATGTAAAACAAAAAAAAAAAAGGCAGCTTTCTTGAATATATGATTCAAAATTACTCTGGTCAAGTCTGAAAGGCCAGCATTGGGGTCAACCTGAGGACTTGGACAGTCGTACACCCGTCTGACCTTTCTAAAAAAAAAATATATATATATATATCAAAAATTATAGGCTTAATTTTTTATGGCAAGCCTGCAGCGTGGGACATATTTTGCCCTTGCCATATGTTTTGCAGACATTTTGGATAATTTCCAGGACATTTGATAAATTGTTGTAAGTACTTCTTGTTATTTATAGTGTTACTATTTAATCTGGTTTGGAAAGACCACAGAATATTTTGCAATTTATTAAAAAAAATGTCAGTAATAAGTGAATAATAAAAATAGCCAAGTGGATTATTAATAACCTACTAATAAAGTTGTTATTGTTGTCTTAGTTTTATGTCAGTTTTTTTTCACCAACTTTGACATATCTATTGTCAAAATTCTGTTGTTCGATTTAAGTTTTTAATGACACAGAAATGCAAACTGAACTTTAAAATAATTAATATAGATTTTGACTATACTGTTAAATTGGTTCATATCTGAGCTCAACTCAGGTCATTGTCAGCCTGTCGTGAACATCATGAATTTCAAACTCACTGATGTAATCCAAGTGTGAGGTCTTTTCAGGCAATACTTTCTAAAAATATCATCACTCTTTGTTTTGCCGTACATTTAGCTTAGCAGTGGGATAAAGCCGCCGTCAGCTTTGACCTCCTGCCTTGTATTACTGACTTTGGCCGACCCACCTGCTCCAGTCGTAGTACGGTGGATGTCTAATAGATGCAGTTTCTACATTAATTTTAATATTTAAATTTGAAGTTGAAGCTGTTCCTACAAACTCATCCTGATGTTTATTACAGCGTCACGGCCTTTAACAGTGCCAGTCGATAATGTCAACAGCCAGGACTGTCAGTTTGTTTTCAGTGACACTGATGGATAGGTTTGCTTCGCTGTGCAAATTCTTCCCAGTCTTAAGCTGTGGTGAAAATGGGTTTCAAGGGAGACACCCATAACTCTAAATAGCACACGCACACACACACACACACACTCACAAAGTATACTCCATTATAACTCGTTACGCATCTCTCTGTTGTTTAGATTTATTCCAGGATTATTCCGGCCTTTCAATTGTGCTCAAAATTAACTGCACACAGTGACTACTTTTAATTCCCTACTTGACTTTGCCACAGCAGTTGCCCCACGCCAAAAACATGCCTTCCTGCACTTTTTATTTACACACTGTATACCCAACACCCCAATTACCCTGTCTCTGGTTTAGATTTATCTGTTCTAAATCTATGCAGGAAAAAATAAACAACAAAAAAAAGATTGCACCAGATGTTGCTTCATTCTCCTAGTTTTGGCTGAGGAGATGTTCCCAAAACTTAATTGTCTCAACTGCAACATCTTGCATTTTACAGTCTATTAGCAGAGTGCGATTTAGCACAATTTATGGGAACCCCGCGGTCCTCAGTAAATGCGTGCGCACGTATCGAGGTAATAAAGGCTAATTTGTTGTTTGTGCCTTTTGTCCTCCTCTCCGTTTGGGAAATTTGTTTTTCACACAGATGCAATTATTTGTGAGCGCAGCCATTAGCTGTTTTTTTTTTGGGGGGGGGGAGGAATTCAGATACTGCGTAATCGGGGAGTAGTTACTTGCAGATTTAAGCACAGGGTGGAATTACCGTTACAAACAACACAAACAATTCAATGATAAGTGATTTAAACCACAATAAAAAACAAAAAAAACATGGGTCGTTGCTGCTCAGTTGACAGCAGCACAGTTCTCCGTCTCTCCACTGCATTATCTGTCTGAAGGTTTGACATTGAGTGAATGAACCTCAGATGATTACTATCAGTTGTCCTTGCCTCTGTGCTCTGACCATCCTTGGGACAGGACACCCAGCCTGACGTGACTCTTTTGCTTTTTCGCAGATGTTCACAAACAGTGATGAGGCAGTAATCAATAAGAAACTGCCCAAGGAGCTCCTGCTGCGGTAAGCCACATTTCTAAACACACCCACAGTCGGAAGGACTTTTTAGGACTAAAAAAAAAAAAAACCTCTTCTCTTTTTGTCTTTCAGAATCTTTTCTTTTCTGGATGTGGTGACGCTCTGTCGCTGTGCCCAGGTCTCACGGGTGAGTGTCTGTGATTGTGTGTTTTGTTTATTTATTTTTTTGTAGTTTGAGTCGTCTCATTGAAATTGTCATTGTCTGTGTCTCTCTTTTTTTTCAGTCCTGGAATGTTTTAGCCCTAGATGGCAGCAACTGGCAACGAATCGACCTCTTCAATTTTCAGAGGGACATCGAGGTGAGTGAGCTAAAAGCCTTTGCTGTGTACTTTTCACTTCGTGGCGTCGGCTTAATCTAATTTCCTTGAAACAAAGTGTGCAAACACAAACAGCAGACTGAGTGGATTGCTCCGTTTCAGGGTCGGGTGGTGGAGAACATCTCAAAGAGATGTGGAGGTTTTCTTCGCAAGCTGAGCCTGCGAGGGTGTCTGGGTGTCGGAGACAGCGCCCTGAGGTGAGTGTGGCACTGGCAGGAGAACATGGCATATCCAGTTTGACAGCCATTAAATAATTGTGTGTGCGTGTGTGTGAATTTTAATTTTTTCTTGTTTTCACTCTAGGACGTTCTCACAAAACTGTAGGAATATTGAGCTGCTCAGTCTGAACGGCTGCACAAAAATCACTGACAGGTTTGTGAATGTTTCAGTCAAAGTGTTGCCAATACATTCTGTACCCGACTGTTCTGAAGAGTCTTTCTTTCTTTCTTTCTTTCTTTTTTTATTCTGCAGCACGTGTAACAGTCTCAGCAAGTTCTGTCCGAAGCTTAAGCACCTGGACCTTACCTCATGTACCTCAATCACCAACCTGTCTCTCAAAGCTCTCAGGTGTGTGGGTTCATTACTGTGGACTACTGTCCCTCCCTGGGTTAAAGGCTTTTGCCTTTTCTACACATACACTTTCTTTCTGTCACGTCATGTTTTTTTTTTTGTTTTTTTTTTCCAGTGAGGGTTGTCCACAGCTGGAGCAGCTCAACATCTCTTGGTGTGATCAGGTGAGCAAAGATGGCATCCAGGCCCTGGTGCGCTCCTGCCCTGCACTAAAGGGACTGTTCCTCAAAGGCTGCTCGCAGGTAAACGTCAGAGATATATAAATATATATGTGTTATATATGTGTGTATTTATATATGTACATATGTATATATGTTTATATATATGTGTGTGTATATATGTGTGTATTTATATATGTACATATGTATATATGTTTATATACATATATATATATATATATTTTGTTGGACAAAAACACTAATGTGATTAAATTTAAATCTAAAGAACAGTTGTTTGAGTTTTTCTGGCCAATGGGATTTCAATTGACTGAATTCATTTCTGTTCTTTTACAGCTAGAAGATGAGGCCCTGAAACATATTGGTGCCTACTGTCCAGAACTGGTCACACTTACCTTGCAAACATGTCCAGTAAGTACGGCAGACAGCCGAACTGAGGAGAGAACCTGTAACTGAAGACAGTTTTATAAATATGTTGTCAATGGAAGGAAATAAGAATGGGTCATTTACACTCACCAAAAAAGGGAGAAAATTTCATATATATATATGTATATATATATATATATACCTTTGTTGTGTTGTTTTGTTTTTTCTGTCTGGGCAGCTGATCACAGACGAAGGTCTCATCACCATTTGTAGAGGTTGTCACCACCTGCAGTCCTTGTGTGTCTCAGGCTGTCCCAGCATCACAGATGCTATTCTCCACGCCCTTGGACAGAACTGCCCTCGCCTCAGGTAACTGTAGAGAGGCTAGATGAACAAACACACACACACACTGCCAACAGATGGGTTTCTACAGTCACCAGAACTACAAATTGTCACCCTACATTGCAGAACGTTTGTTTTTGTGTTTTTTACTTCTATTGAAACATTTCTGCAGAGTTTGAAGGAGACAGCGGTCTCTTACTTTCAATGTTGAGGCCAGGCGGTGTCACAAATTCGGCAGGAACTGCAGGAATTGCGCCATAACTGTCTGCTTCTTCTGTTCCTCTTTCAGAATATTGGAAGTAGCTCGCTGCTCCCAGCTAACAGACGTTGGATTCACTACATTAGCAAGGGTGAGTGTGGCGGCTCGGTATTCACAAACAGAAACACAGCAATCTTGGAATTCACATTGAAATCACCAACAACGTCACGCTAAGTTTTCCCATGACCACTTTTGGCTTGTGTTGTTTTTTTTCTTTCCAAACAAAATGCATCACATATTTTGCAGTAGCCGTGCAGTGACACTCAGGAAATGTTGGTCATAATTCAGAAACGATGATAAATTGTAGAATACATTTTTTAATATATATATTTTTTAAATCTAATTTCTCTGTATAATAATCATACACAAATAGACAGATCCTAATTCTATTCACCCTGAAGAAGCTGATCTCTGGTTCCTTCGTCTTCCTTCTCCCTCACAGAATTGTCATGAACTCGAGAAAATGGATTTAGAAGAATGTGTACAGGTATTTTCAAAGCACAGCAGTATAAATATACACCTACACTGTTTTTTGGTGCCATCTACAGTCCTGACATTTTTTTATCCTTTCTCCTCCCTCGTCAGATCACAGACGCAACGCTCATCCAACTTTCGATCTACTGCCCTCGTTTGCAAGTCCTTGTGAGTGTGTGATTACAACGTTTTTGTTTTTTGACAACGTTCAGCCGAGTAACCCTGCTCTGGGCCCTGCTCTGACACCGAGTTCGCTGCGTGTTCCTGCAGAGTCTATCGCACTGTGAGCTGATCACCGACGACGGCATCAGACACCTGGGCAGCGGGCCCTGCGCTCACGACCGTCTGGAGGTGATCGAGTTGGACAACTGCCCCCTGATCACAGACGCCTCGCTGGAGCACCTGAAGAGCTGCCACAGTCTGGACCGCATCGAGCTCTACGACTGCCAGCAGATCACTCGGGCTGGGATCAAGAGACTAAGGGTGAGTTTCGCCCGCGAGTAAATCACATTCAGAAACGACTCAAAAATACTTTTTTTTTTTTTTTTTCTTATCTGACAGGTGTCATTTTGACAAAAGAAATACTCATGTCATATTTGAAAGTTTTTAAGTAAACGAATACCAGATTAGGTCTTGGACAAAGTTGATTTCCTGTTAGGTGTGTTTTCACTGGTTTCTGATGTGGGGGGCGTTGTAGAAATGACAAATACAGAACAGTGTTGGACATTGAGAATAAACTGAGAGTGTCATTATCACCACTACAAGCTTGAGAAGCCACAGCAGGTGAAGGGATGTGGGTTAGGGTTGGGGGGGTGGGTCCAGGTTTTTTAGTATTTTCTAATTGCGTTTTGCAGGTGTTTTTAATTTTGGTATTTATTTTATTTTTCTCACAGTGTGGAAATTGACTTAAGAGATGACTGATGGTAAAGTTTTATATTAAACAGTGTCCAAAATACAGTTGAAAGGGGAGACGCACTGCAGAAAGTGTATTTATGACAGTGCTGTGACAAAGTTTAAGGTTTGACGTGCTGTCAAAAATTGTAAAGAATATTAATAATAATGTTTATTTGTTACTCATTTTCAAATCAGTATCAACAGCCCAAAACTGGGGGAGGAACAGCCAAGCTGCTACCAAGGTGAGATGATAGAAGACGGGTTCTTGTCACGGGTCGTACCCCCGCGGCAAGACCGGGCACGGCAGCCAGACACGTGGTAGTAGTAGACGTCTCTCCAGGGTGGAGTTTTAAGATGAAGAATTAAGAAAAAGTGGAGGATTGGGGGTGGAGGGGGCGCTGTGGTCGGCCAAGAACTTGCAGGAGATAAAAAAAAAACACTCTCAGTTTATGTCTGTTTGAAATGGGAAAATGTCCAACAGTGACATCATCTCAGAACTGGCAGCAACCAGTGGGAGTGGAGTTTAACCGTGTACTGTCTGGAGATGGATGACTGTCGAGGCGATCTTCGTGGAAACGACTCGGGCGTCTACGAAAACGCGCGGCAGCAGGTGCTTCGGAGTGAACGCAGAGATCGTCCATAGGTGTTTGTTTATAGATGCTGTGGTGAGCGCAGACATGTGGAAGTCAATGGCTGCTGCTCTTTTCCCATAGTCAGCCCCACTGGCCGTCTGCCCAGTTTCCAGTCCAGGCTGCTCTAAACAAAGTAACAGAGGTTTTATATTTGGGAGCTGAGGCTGGTATCGATCTTCACTGCACATTACATACACTGTTTGCATTGTCTGTGATGATGAAGTAGTCCAGTAGGTGCGGATAGTCTTGGAAACGTGTACTGTCTTTAAGGGGTCAGGTGTGTCCAACTCTTCTGAGATGCTTACTCAAAAAAAAATACATGAAGTACTCATTACTAAAAAAGTCACAGTGATGCAACAACATCCTCATAATCCTTTGTTCTGATCCTTTTCGTAAATTTTAAGGTTGGGACAGGGCCTAAAACAAACCCAGCTCTGGACCATTATCGGCCCCCGGGCCATACTTTGATTAAGCAAGGTTTTTTTTGTATGATGTCAGCAACGTGAGGCAGTGCAACAGTAGTGCTGTGTGTGTTTACAGGACACCACTCCCAGCACATTAACTGTGGTAGTACTGCAGTGTACTCTCTAAGTAACTTCCTTGACGCACTCCGATGGTAGAGACGCTGTTTTTCTTGTAACAAACATGCCCATTTCGAGAACCTAACCCTCTGCTGTCATTTGCTCAAACCTTTTATGGCCAAACAAAAACTCTGTTCAAGTCACGACTCCACCCACACACCAGACAGAAAAATGAATGTCTGAAATTCAAACTGTCTCCCAGAGAAAAGGGACTGAAGTCTTTATCGTCGGAGGTCGACGCTGGGAAATCGTTCACCTCAGTAACTGCCCTACTGCAGTTTTACAGCATCTGTAAAAAGAACTGACTCATATCTCTTTTTTTTCCTGTCTTCTTTCCTGCAGACCCATCTTCCCAACATCAAAGTGCACGCTTACTTCGCTCCCGTCACTCCGCCTCCCTCCGTCGGAGGCAGTCGTCAGAGATTTTGCCGCTGCTGTATCCTGCTATGATGTAAAGACCTCAGCCCCCATTTCCTGCGTCGCGTGTTCCCCCGTGGATGGTCCCGCCGCCTGTCACATGACCCTTCAACTGCTGTCCTCCCACTTTACCACCGCTCGTCATAGACTACATGCCGGTGCGTCTGCGTTTGGAGCTGCAGAGAGAGAGAGAGGGAGTGGAATAACGTTACTTGGGTATCCTTCTCCTCAAACATTCCCAACTATCCCAAACACACACACACACACACACACACCCACACACCCCAGTCAGCCCCCAGTCGGATGTCGGGACGATTCTAGGCAGTGTTCAGCAGAAGAGCCAGTATTACAGAGGCTTGAATCCAGTATCGCCACCGTCGTCACATGAAAAGTCCTTAGCATCTAAAGTGATTGTCCAGTATTTACAGGCATCCCCTCTTTTTTTGCACTTTGAGAAAAAAAAAATACCGCGACAGATGATTTTGAGTAAGTAAAAATACAAAAAAATCCCACATAGTCTGTCGACACATCCCACAGCGTGTGTCGAAAGGTCACTTTACCGCTACCTCTGGATGGGAACTGCACCTGCGTAGACCTAAAGCAGCAGTCTGTCAGGTGGTTAAAAAAAACAAAAACATATGCAGCTCTTTGCACTTAAAAGCAATGATAAGACACTTTAAAAAAAATACACCAACGATCCCAAAATGTAAGACTAACCACACACACACACACACACTATCATTACTATCACAAACCAAACCATCATTTGAATGCGTACTCTGTTCTTGCTCCACCCGTGTCCTCACGCCCTCTCTCTGTTACAATCAGAAGCTTCAGTTTGTTGTGGAAAAACAAAAACGTAGGTGAAGTGGAAGGATTTATACGTGGGGACGGGAGAAGATGCCAAATGTTGCATGTAACAACTCTAGTTTTTTTGTTTTTTTGTTTTTTTTAACTGTAAATATTTAAAATGTCTGAGAGTCACAGCCAGCTGCACAACAGAAGACGATGATGTCAGAGTGGACGGGGAACTTTGACGAAGCTTTGCAAAAACAAAAACAAAAAAAAACACGCCAGTACTTATCTGGAGAAGAACTGAAACTGGCCAGATAAGGAAAAACAAAAGACTTGTCACTACAGGAACTCGTGCTGTCATAACAGGACAACGGACAGGAAGAGCCAATCAGAACCCATGCAATTTTACTGAATTAGATTTTAATGTGAAACCTTCTCGGTGACGGTTTCTGACGTTGACGCGAACCTCACCCTCGACAGTGAAAAGAAAGGACACGCGCGCGTTGTATGGAGCGACGGCAGCAACTCCTCCACTCCCATGAGGCCTTGCAGGGTTAGGAGAGATGGCGTGTTGTACCCCGCCACCCGTGATCCCCCCCCCCTCCCCCGTCTGTCTGGAGTCGTGAACACTGTTTGAGGAGACAACAGCCAGATCTGATCATATCAGAGCAGTCACTGTGAAAGGAAGTCGTCTGAATCTTGAGTGCCCGCCGACAGACGGGACGGGAAGATTTGTGTCACAGCAGGGGGCTGCCGTCTACTGCGGCCCAAACCCTATGAAGTATTGGAGCCTTTCTCTCCAACGAAAAACGTACTCTCCTGCACTTGCACCTGCTTCCTTCTTCGGTCCGTCTTTCTTCCCCTGTTTCGTTTTAATACAGGCATCTTTTACTGCTTTATTTTATTTATTTTTTTTAACCTTCTCTACTTCTCCACCATTTAGCATTTCTCTCATTTGCTGTGGTTTGGATTGTGCCTGCTTCATTTGGTGTTTGATGTCACACGTTCTCCTAGGTTGATTCTGGAGCCCTCTTCAGTTCTCTGTTTGGATCCACAGGAGTTTGTTTTTATTAAGCCCTAATTGTTATTGAGTGTCCACAGTTTAGCCTTTTGTCTGGGGGTGACGGGGGGGGGGGAAGGGGCGCAATCATGATAAATGTTGAATGTGAGTTCGATTTTTTTTATGCGAACTAAAGAGGGGGATAATGATGTAGGTTGTACTTGCTGAATGTTCTCATCCTCGGGATGGCTAGACAATATCTTTTTGTTCCTTTTAAAGGTTAGCTTTCCTTGTTTTAATGTTTTTTTGTGTGGCCGTCACTTTTCATCCACTTTTCTATCCTAAAAAGGTTAAAACCCTCTAAAAACTCATAAATGCCACAGACCTTCTGTAGTAACAACGGGCTCCATTAGAGGGCAGTCTAATCAGAAGTCATCTCTTGAGCCATTAGTTGAAGAAGTGTAGCTTTTTCCAACAAAGCAGGCCAAGCATACACAACACTAAACCACCTGGAGAGCATTATTTATTTCAAGAGTTAGAACTGAAAAAAGACATTTTTATATGTCCGTCTTTCCGCCTTGACAAAATAATTGACAGCCCGTGTAGCCGACCCTCTGTCATGAACTTTTCCCAGAAACATCAAGCAAGATAGTGGAACGTCTGTCCTGGTGTCACTATCCAACTAAGTTAGGATTCTCCTCTGTTTCTGATTGGACAGCTGGACCAGACAGGGTAATCCAGTCAGGCATTACTCCGGTCTGATCTGTTGTTGAACAGGATCTTACTGTTGGATTTCCATCACAGATTTATAATTGCAGTGGCTTCCCATTAATCCCTTCTTTGTGCTTCGGAGTCGGAGGATTTAACCTTAACCTGAATGTAAACTCCGGGTTTCCTGTTTGTGCATTTTAATGTGAAACGATGACGGCGTGTGCTTTCATCAAGGCTTTTGTACAAATGACCCGCAGATCCACAGGCGACGATGGCGTTCGGTCTGCCTGAGTTACCAAACACACTACAGGCCTCCACGCGGCGTGACTGCTCCGTCATATCCCCGCGCCCCCCTTGGTCGACCCCCTCTTCCCTGTGTCCGTCTGTCGCACTTTCACCAGTTTACACAGCGGTTGAGCTTCTTTTTCGTGGATGATGAAGTGGGCAAGAAAACTACAGCGTGTGCGTGTGTTCACGGTAGAGCAGCAGAGAAACTTCAACAACTTTGACAATGACTGTAGTTCATATGATTACTGTAAATCTTTTCCTTTCTTTCTTTTTTTTTACAATTAACCGATATAAATGAATATGTACGTATGAATAAATATATACCTATATTATTAAGACTGATGTAGATTTCTGTGGTGCCCGGCTTGTACTTACCTTGTCACTGCGGTAGGTGGCAGCAGTGAGCTTTGTGTTGTGACCTCGCCGTTTCTAGATGCCTCTGTTTGAATCAGTCCTGCTTCAAAAGGATGCAAAACTTCCAAGATTTTGTAGCAAACCAGGAAAATAATATATTTTTTATTTTTATTTTTTATTTTTTTAAACAACAGATGCCCCTCCTATCATAAACCACAATAATCCATGCTTAGGAACTGCATGGATGGGAGACAGAGGGGTAACTGTTTGCCCTTGGCCACATCCATTTCCTTCCTGTTGTGGAAGACAGAGCTCCTACCTACTGAGCCTCATTAGATTCTTGTGGGAAATGTGAAAATGCTAATGCTAATGGTCGACAGAGACACAGACACAGAGGATGGATGCCCCCAGGTCGAACGTTTACCTAGGGCAGGGTAAATGGGGGAAAAGCAGAGGAGTCATTATGATCATTTTCTAACACAGACCACGGTGCAGTGTGTGGAAGGTACTGTAGTAATATCACAGACTGTACATACATACTGTGATGTACACACACGTGTTGTAACACACACTGCAATCACTTACAGTTTAGCTGAGGCCCATCTTTCTAACACGTATCATCTGGATCTTCATGACGTGCGCAGCTGATGCACCGCCGCCACAAATTGTCCCTCAGATCTTGGGAGGACGAGGACGGTGACATTAAGTTATTTTGCTGCTACAAAGCAGTTTGAAATTGTATTGTCACATTGAAAATTGGTTACGGGGGGAGGGGGGCGGCGGTGGTCAGTGCTCAGCTGCTGATTGGAGAGCATGGGAGTGGTGGTGCTGGTCCCATGGAATTGATGCTTCTCCTAATATTAGTAGGAGCCCAAAATATGAAGATGACGGAGTGACAAACAATATGGCAGGATTAAATATTAGATAAAAAAAACTGTCAAGTGTCGAATCTGTCACCGTCATCGTAAATACTAGGGATGTCCGATAATATCAGTCGGCTGATATTATCGGCCAGATATTAGCATAATTATGTAATATCTGTAATGCCTGTTTTTTTTTTTTCAAATGATGTGTGCCCTAAAAACAGTTTAGGGGATAAACAACTGTATATTAAAGCGGAGGTCACTAGATGGCAGCATTGCAGCTCATTCTAATTAATCTTGTACTCAGTGGTTTGTACAGATAAATAAATAAATATTACCAGGCCTATATTGGTACCGGTTGATATCGGAATCTGGAAAATAAGTGTGGACAATATCGGATATCGGCAAAAAATGTATATCGGACATCCCTAGTAAACACCACATGAAGCCAATGCCAGGTGGCTGAAGAGCCACATGTGATTCCAGATGTGAAGCCAGTTGGTTTAAAAATGGAGGCAGATGATTGGCCGTTCAGCGTCTATAAGTAAGCAGTGAGTAAAAGGATGAAAATGTTGAAGCAGCGTCTGTCTGCTGTCTAATAAAGTGCAGCTACAGTTTCTGAGTGTGTTGATCTGCATTGATTAGCATCTTTAAAGGCCACCCGTCTCCACTACCATGACTAAGAGAAAGACTCAGACTCCACCAGGAGACTCCCTCCAAGCTCCAAGACGTGACTAAAACACTTGTTTTGCAGCTGGCGTGGCACTGCCCGCGGGGTCAAGTCCGTATCGGCGCCTGCTTACGCACGTTTTGTTTGAGGTAAAAGCACAGATGGACAACGAGCGGCAATTTGTTGCCAATGGAAAGAATAGCAGCCGCGGCCCTGTGGCTGCACCGTGACGACCGCTGTCACGGCTGGGATCTGTCTCCTGCCGCATGGGACCGAGTCCTTCCTTTCCGTCCTCATTACCGTTTCTCGCCCGTCTCCAAATAACGGGGAGATCAATGTGTTTTCAATCCGGTTGTAATGCTTATTTTTATCAGCTGGGCTCTGGCACCTGGGGTATGGCAACCATGATGGAAGATGAGCTACACACGCAGGGCGGCGTTGGTGTGTGAACGTGAATGAGTACGTGCACATGTGTGTGTCAAGTCATTTTTCTGTTCGGGAACTTTCTGTTCTTTGTCAGTGTCAGTGTTTCTAATGGACCAGAACATGAGTTTCTGGTTAGATTTGGGTTTTCTCCAGGTAATCCTGTTTCCTTCCAAGGTCACTATCTAGATTAGAGATTAGGGATTCATTGGACAACCATAGGTGTGAATGGAGTGGTGAACTGTACCCTGACCTTGTCTGATGAATGCTGGGATTATCTCCATCACCCCTTGTCACCATTAAAAGTATAAAACTCCATACAGTATAATTCCTAAACATCTGATATTTTCTCAGAAAAAAAAAATGCAAATCTGTATATTTTCTCACTTTGGCACAATTAAAAAAAAAATCTAATTCATGAAACTGCTGCATTCTCCCTTCTCCAAATGCCCCATTAGGGCACCGCCCCCCACTTTGAGAACCATTGAACTTAATTGAGTGATTGACTGAATCGAAAGTCCTAATAAGGCAAATTTTTTCCGATAATTTGCAGGTATTTGTAGATCTGTGTGTGTGTTTTCCCGGTTCACCACATCTCTCTGTTCTTTTTTATAGATAACCTAGCGCTTCCTTTTGTCACTGACATGAAATCCTTTCCCAGACACCAAGACAATTCTCTCACTTACCAAAGCTAAAGGTTTCTTCAGTTTTTCTATTATTTTCTGTCATGGTTTCTGTCCCTGTTTTGAAACTCTTTCTCTGTCCCGCAGCAGCTTGAAGGAAACTATAAAAGAATACCTTCTTAAATAAAAAAACATTAGGAGTGTGTGTAAAAAAAAAATTGCCTTTATATGTTTGCTGTTAAAATGTGAATCAATAGAAAGCTGACGAGGCTGCAGTTAAACTAGAGGAATAGGATCGGACTACAGTACCTCATCGCTGCTGCTTTTTGACGAATCACAGTTAAGTGGTTCAAGCTCTGGCTCCACACCAGGCTGCATCTGGAAGACCAGGCCTCTGTGCTCATGTACTGTAGTGGAGCCCTGGTTCCTGTAGATTACCTTCATCTTTTGGTTGTGACCCACTTTCACCCAGCAAAACTAAATCGGCCTGAGACACGTTTCGCTCACGTTTCCTTAATGCTTCATGCAAATGAGGCACGGAATCAACAGAGGGCTGCACTTCACCGCACAATGCAGCGTTTGAACTCAGTGCGCCTTGCTCGGGAGACCAGACATCACTGGTATTAATAGTATTATTCCATTCAGTCAACCGCCAAATTTAGCCCCGCGACCCACTTTTTGGGTCACGACTGGAGTATTTGAGAAAGGATTCTTCAGACGACACTGATGTCATTGAGTAGGTAACAGCACTGTCTTGGCTGGAACAAATATAGTCGCAGCTTCAGCAACAAAGTCGTGTACATGGTCTGCACTTCAAAATCTCATTACTCCACAGTGTCTTGTTATTCCATGCCCACACGTTTGCTTTCACCAGCG